TTTATCCAAGCAGACGATGAGTAAGCTCTGAATGGCAGGATAAAATCCCTTGTTTGGAATATCTACTGTCCTTCTTACTTAAAAGTAAACAAAGAAGGAGGGTTTCAATTCAGCCAGATTTATCATTGATTTTGGATTCTTAGTTCAACATGGAGCAAGAAAAATAAAGGTGTCTTCACAAATGCATTGTTAGACATGGCGAGTTATCAAACTATACATGGTGTATGGGGGGTCGAAGTATCCTTTAAACTGCACATTGAGGAGGAAATGGGTTTTGTGGTGAAATTCTAGTGAAGAAGTTCTTGTTGTGCTGACTCTGTCAACCACAGCTGCACATGACTTCAAAGGTCAAAATGGTCACACGCGTGGGAAAACAAACTTTTCGTCCTCACACACGCAACCTATCATGTGCATGTTAATAATCGCATATCCAGATACACACACTGCTACACACTCCTCGTACATTGAAACTTCACAGTTGTCCCTAAATACACAGTAAGACACACATGCTGTAATGTTCACTCGGCATGCACACACAGTACATCCGCAAAACTCCTGGTGCCAACATATTCAGCCTCTTCCCTTCCCACAAGCCAAATATTTGCTCTTGTTCAGATATGGGCCTGAATGACGGGAAAACATTTCAGCAATTTTTCCTCGTCTATTTCTCTTTCATATGCTTTCATTATTGACTGGAGTGAAATAATCCCTATCTACATTGGTTAAATATGGTTTCATTGTGATCTGGTCCTTATCAGATCAAATCTTTCCATTTAAAAAATAAATAAAAGTGTAGGCATGTCAGGTTTAGGTATATTACTTTTTTTTTAAAGTTTAGTTTTAATATGATAAATGTCATTAGTTTAATTGTGAAAAATACAACAAATAAATATTAGCAGTTTGACTGTTTTTGGTAACTTTCAGGAGGTATTATTTAATTTGTACATTGTTTTTTGCTTAATTTATCAATTTCTTTGCACCTTTTTTTCGTATCTAGGTTGTTTTTACAGCATGAAACTTAATTTATCTTAAACAAAATCACTTTATAAAGTAACAGTCTTATTATTTACCGCTCTCGTTGTTGTTGCATTCTGCATCTGTGCTTCTTAAATACATGTATCGACTTCCAAGGTGCATGGAGAAGCCAGCAACAGTTATGTAACAGCCAAAATACATTTGTCTTACAATACAAACATCTATAAACTAAAGGTACTAATGACACACATAACGTTAATTTGTGAGCTTCAGAGGAGCCTGGCTTACTGTATACACTTGTTTCCAGTGTTTGTGCTAAGCTAAGTTAGCATTGGGCTGCTTCAGTACAGACATGAGTGGTATCGATCTTCTCATTTATCACCTGCAATAAAAGCGTTTTAATATCCAAAAGCAAGATAACCGATATGAAAACCTATATCACAAAAACAAAATCAAATCAAACTTTTTAATAATCTTCCTTCTACTCAACACCCAGCATTTATTAATCCTGAGCTGGTAAACTGTAGATAAAGTTCATTTCTTCCTCTTTTAAAGTTGCATCTCGTGATGATTCGAGGAGATTGGAGCCTCGGCTCCCCGTTAGTCGCCCTGTTCGGACTCGTTTCTCAGCTCCACTGAAGTTAAGAGTACACTGATGGCGCCTCAAAGCGGGGTAAAGAAAGTCAGTGTGGGCAGAGTTTATTTATTAAAGCTTCATGCCTAGAACGTTGGCTCTCAGGCTCAACATCTGCTTCTCCTGCCGCACTTTCTCCTCCTTAAACGCCGTCTGGTTGGCTTTCTTCTCCACTCTCCGCTCCTTGCGTTCTTCCTTGATGGCGAGTTTCCTCTGCTTCCTCTCCTCTGTGCTCTCCTCCTTGCTGTGCTGCTGGGTAGAAACTCGAGGCAGGTCCGAGTTGTTGATCCTCATCATGCGCTCCGCCTGCTTAGCGGTCAGGCCTTTGGTAGGAAGGACGTCCAGAGGGATGCCCGTCTTCTGGGACACTCGGATCGGCTTCGTCCTTTGTGGTTCCTGAATCAACTTGGGTCTGTTATAGATGTTGGAATATGTGCTGATGATGGTTTCACAGTTCCACTTCTCCTCTGGACCCTTGATAACAACGGTTTCCATCTCTTCCTCTTCATCTTCATCATCGTCTTCATCCTCCTCCTTCACGGCAGGAAGTTCTTTAGGACCCAAGTTGTCAGGTCTCAAGTATTCTTTCCCTTTCTGTATGAAATAGTCTTTGATGACTTCCTCCAGGCGAGCGCTGTCCGGCTGGATGAACCCCTCCAGCTCGGCGTTATCCAGCGCTCCGATCTCATCGTCATCAAACTGCTCGTAAAACTTCTCGAAGCGGTCGTCCAGCAGGGTGAGCTGCTCGTTCCTCCTCATCACCGACGAGGACATGGAGTATTCTGTGAAGCAACTCTTCGTCTCCTCGTCCATGAAAATAAACTCTTTAGCACGTCTCTTAGGTATATTACACTTGTCCAAAATGCTAAACCTGTGAAGACCACTTGACATGCAGTCCTGGTTCCTGAATCTGCCTATAACGAATCAGGACAATGGGTCCATAAACATTGGCTAAAGTTGGTGATCAACAATATGAAAAACAACCAACCATTTACAACTATAAATTGTCACAAAAATAATATACTCCATACCTTTCAATCATCAATGCCTCCAACCCACCTGTTGATCTTTAAACTACTTCTCAATAGTATTAACAAAGACACTTTACAACTGTGAAATAATAGTCTACATAGTAAAGGGAATGAGCTTCACTAAATATATATAATATATATTATACTGGTTAAGCACTTAGTGAAAAGGACTTGAAATGGACTTGGATGTCTTTTGTCCTTCCCCATTTGTTATGATACAATATGTATACTTCAAAAGTTTTAAGAGATAAAATGAATCATACACTTTATATTTCAGTTGTAAAGAGGCGTTTACACCAAAACCCTACTCTGTATATAAACAATATGAAGGGGAGGGGGACAGTAAGGCTAAATTGGAGAATGGGGTAATGTATAGTCAAGGGGTAGAAGGGGAGGTCATCTGTGATGTCGCTGTAGATGGACCCTCACCCCCCGACACAAACACAGACCCCGCCCTTTCACAAGGCCCCCGTACGGTAATTGGGCCCAAACATCAAACAGGCTTCATTAGAAGGACTCCAGGAACTGCTAATCCCCTGCCTTCACACAGGGGGGAAAACGGTTTTGTGGTGCATGGCGTCCGCCACCCCGAACAAAACATCTTGAAGGAACATCAAAGCCCTCCTCATCCGCGTTCCCGAATCTAAAGACTCATATGTGTGTGTATGTGTGTGTCATCCGTTCGCCTTCGCTGCACCTTAGCTATATGCTCATGGTGGCAGCTGAACAGGACGTTTTTATTTGCATGCAAGTCATCTGGAAACAAAAGAGCACTTCGGCTGCCTCTAAAAACATCAGACATCAGTGGGAAACAGTCGCCACTTGGGTACAAAGGGGCCACCGGGATGCCCCAAATCGCCGTTTAGGTGGGGCCCGCTCATACAAACATGAACATTCGCTTTCTCTCATTGACGGACACACAAAGGCAAACCCAATGACACACAGAAATGGCTTGCCGGACTAAAGAAGATGAGATTAATAGTTTTGTTGAGGTAAAAAAATGTCAGTCAAATATTTCCCTAATTCACTAAAAGTTAACTAGACACACGCAAACACACGGAAAACGTACAAACAGATGTTCAGCTGTCAGAGGATTATCATAGATGGACTCGAAGTGCATACATATATATATATATATATATATATATAAAGATACAGTTTGCGGTGACATATGGTTATATATAGATACTACTTTTTTAAGATGTCTGTCTCAGAAGAAAGTGATTCCCTCATAAAATATTGAATCCCCGGATTGATCATGGACATGCAAACGTGCAGTTGATTTCTGAAACCAGCCCCCAGCTCCTCTGAAAAACGATAGAATAAAGCCGAACTCCATCATATCATTCCTTCTCTTTTATTAGCGTGCTAAGCTGTACAACAGATGTCCTCCTCATGCCTCCATTGACAAAAACACACACAAAACTGGCAAAGGATGAGAGCCTCTCAACTGCCGAAGCACAGCGTCACACAGAAATGTTTTTTTTTCACACACGCACCTAAACTCAAATGTTCATTCCCACCCATCCCTTCCTATCTCCACTGACCTGGCTCATCAATCCAGCTGACCTCACTAGCCTCAGACACACACACACTCAGTACAAACAGGCACTCTGAGGATGTGCTGACAGGGAAGAGACTGCCAGCTCTTAATTAGCAGGAAGTAGCAGTGTCAAGGTGTCACAGGCGTGTAGTGCGAAATAGCAGTGTGGGTCCGTCCCCCTACCGATTCCCTCCAGGAATGCTTTGTTGTCGCTTTTCCAGCATCAAACGCCTGCCTGCCATTCACCGTCCGGACCGCAGCCGTTTTCCTCCCTGCTGTGTCTGAATTCTCTCGCAAATGATAAACACAGTCATTTAGGGACTCAGATGTTCTGGTTTTGACCTCACGCTTCGAAGAAGAGGAAGGGAGGGGGTTGTGTTTCGGGGGGGAATCCTAATTGGCAATTTGGAGTCCACCATATCGGATGGGCACTCGAGTAAGAAATGATTTGGTCTGCCTACTTTCATCTTTCTATCTTCTCATGCCACTCACACACACACACACACTACACACACACACACACACACACACACACACACACTACACACACACACACACACACACACACAGCACACACACACACACACCACACACACACACACACCACACACACACACACACCACACACCACACACACACACACACACACACACACACACACACACACACACACACACACACACACACACACACACACACACACCACACACACACACACACACACCCACACACACCACACACACAAACACACACACACACACACACACACACAACACACCACACACACACACACACACTTCCATCACAGTCAACTCCGCTGTGGTAATTTCTTCTTATTTGACCTTTTTCCTTAATGGAATCACCCGTCCCTCCAGTCTTTTTACCACATAGTCTCACCCCATTACTCTGTGTCTTTATTTAAGCTACACATTTGCATTACACTAGGATCATGTCATGGAGATGGAATAATACGTTTCTTTGCAGTCCATTGATGTGTATGTGTTAAATATTCAGAGATGATCATGTGTTACGAGCAGGTATTTGCTAAAGTGGCAACTCTGGTGCACTCAATTTTGTCAGTAAATCCTCACAGGATCAATCACAGAAGCAGAGCCACCATGTCCATTCTAACTCTATAGCAGGTTATTTTCCGCACATCCAAATGCGCGAAAACAACTTGGCTAATTAAGAAAGACCAGTGTGAAATATATAAGATTTCTATATTTAGATGACCCCTTTCTACACAAACTGCTGCCTTGTAAACAAACACTAAAGCATAATGATCTTTAAAAGGGTAAAACTTGCACTGCAGGCTCCATTAATGCTCACTTAGCTGTCCTGCCAGAGGAAGCTCGGCGTTATAGCACTGTGAGGGTCAAGAGAGGGCAGGTGATTTACAGCCGGCAAAGGGCTGGACGTGCTCAAACACCAGTAAATAATCTGCAGAAAAGTGTTTAAACTATTTCAGTTTGCGCTGCTATCCATTAATAGGATATTAAATCATGACATCATAGAAATATCTGGGATATTTCAACTTTAAACTCCACTTGGTGGGGGCAGGTGAGGTCTGTGTGGGCAGTAACTTTTTTTCTTTAAGCTGAGATCATTCTGGTTATGGGAAGATGAGGTCAGGGAAACAGTAGAGTTATAGCTGGTGATGCACTGTTTTATATGGTTTGAAGTTACCACTATAATGGGGACCCAGCAGGCAGATTTAGCTGTGATATGGATTCATCGCTATTGTAGTATTCACTGGAATAGTTACTGTGGAGTTAAAGCCGCTTTGACAGCTATGATAGAATTACAAGAGGAAATATCTAATTATTTAAGAAGACTGGCAAGGCAGAAAGGTGAAGATAAGGTGGCACTGATGAGATCAGGAAGAGTGGGTGAGGAGAAGCAGAGAGGGGAGGAGGCGCTGGAGAGGGGTAAGGGAGGCACCGCAGACATTTTATCAGCCCTGGGAGCTGTGAGTGATCTGAGAGGAGAGGAGGGCCTCTGTTGTGCCCTGTGATCCAGGATTGTGCTTTATGGCATGCTCCAGATCTCTATCAGTGTGGGAAAAGACTGAGAGGCCAGAGCAACTGCGTATGTGCGTGTGTGTGTTTCTGCACACACATTTGTTTGGTTTGTGTGCAGTTTCTGCAACTAAAGCAATCAAGAGGGCAGAGGCTTATGTGCATGAATGAGAAGTGTGTATGTGAGTGTGTAGTTTCTTAGTTTCTGCCACTAAAGCAATCAAGAGTGCAGCGGCTTGTGTGTGTGTGTGTATGCGCTTGGCTGCTGTAGAGCCTGATAAGGACAATAAACATCACCCAACAGCAGGCGGGCAGGTTCAACCACATATAAGGCAGAACTTTGACCCCTCACAAGTCTAACCGACCATTCACTTCTCACAATCATACACACACTGCCACACACACAATTAATATCAGGCCATAAAGTAAAATATGCTTCTGAATGTCGCAATCACGTCTAGTGTCACTGCCATTCCATCGCTTTAAGAGCTAAATTATGTCCCTCTCAGGGAGTCATATGAATGCCTTGTCAACAGATGCTGTAAAAAAGACTGATCACTCATTAGTAATGTCCTGTGTGAGGGGCTCCAGACTATTAGTGATCCTTTATGCCTGTTGGCTTTAACTGCAATCAAAAGCTGCTCACACTGCATGATTTCACTGAGAGAGGCCTCAAAGGCAACACAATCTATGAGTTCATGAGCACCCTCTCCCCTCTGGATGCCACCTGAGTGATGCAGACGCTGCTGTGCTTCAATAAACCTGCAGCGGGGTCGTGGGTTGATGAGGCCACTGCTAAATCTGTGGCAGGTTTAGCTATTAGTTGAGTCACAGATGAGTTCATAAGAGAGCCACACTCCAGGGGGTGACTAGGTAAATCACGCTCCATTTCACCAATGCATTCGGCTGAGAAACTATCGCACTGACGCCACACACGCCCAAACTCGGGCAGACACCAGACTCTGCGGTGACACACTCCATCAGGGCTGCTGTGAGTCACCTGTGCAGCCTGGTAGACAAGCAGCCTGAGGCAAGGCGACATGAGATGTGTGTGTGTGTGTGTGTGTGTGTGTGTGTATGTGTGTGTGTATGTATGTGTGTGTGTGTGTCTGGCGACAGTGATATCATCATGAGGAGACAGTAAAGGCCGATTCGTCTGATGGACGGCACACTCCGTCCCCTTCTGATCCAGACACCTCTCACCAGAAATGACCATCATCTCACCACTTCATAAAATAACGACAGCACAAAGAAATGGATAGTAGCAGGATAGAAGAGGAAGGTATAAGCAGCCAGGTC